GCAGGAGAATGGCTTGAACCCGGGAGGCGGAGCTTGCAGTGAGTGGAGATCGCGCCACTGCACTCCAGCCTGGGCGACAGAGCGAGACTCCGTCTCAAAAAAATAAATAAATAAAAATAAAAAGATACACTTGTGGTGGGCAAACTCGAAGCAATCCTATGCTTGATGCACATTTTTTTTTTTTTTGAGACTCCTCTGTCGCCCAGGCTGGAGTGCAGTGGCGCAATCTCAGCTCACTGCAACCTCAGCCTCCTGGGTTCAAGCGATTGTCCTGCCTCAGTTTCACGAGCAGCTAGGAATACAGGTGTGCGCTACCCGGCTACTTTCTGTATTTTTAGTAGAGATGGGGTTTCGCCATGTTGGCTAAGCTGGTCTCAAACTCCTGACCTCAAGTGATCTGCCCGCTTCAGCCTCCCAAAGCGCTGAGATGACAGGCGTGAGCCACCGTGCTGAGCCTTCATGCATAATTCTTGGCATTTATAAAATACTATGATGCTTTCAATCACCAGGTGAAGTAGAAAGGGGTGATTTTAATTTTATAGGAAATTCAGGTTGAGATCGAGGGAAGTGCCCCAAAACACACAATTATTAAGGAAAACAGCCTGGAAGATGTCTCAGTTCTTTAACTCCCGGGTATTACTGAAGAGGTTGTAAGTGTGTAGTCCCAAAATATTTCACCATGAGCCACTTCAAACATTTCCTGGGACCTAAATTGGCCAAAATTCTCATTCCCAAAAGCACAAGAGGTTGAGCACAGTGGCTCACATTTGTAATCCCAGCACTTTAGGAGGCTAAGGCAGGAGGACAGACTGAGCTCAGGAATTCGAGACCAGCCTGGGCAACATGGTGAAACGCCATCTCTACAAAAAATACAAAAATTAGCTGGGCGTAGTGGCACTTGCCTGTGGTCCCAGCTACTCAGGAGGCTGAGGTGGGAGGATCACTTGAACCCAGGAGGTCAAGGCTGCAGTGAGCTGTGATCATGCCACTGCACTCCAACCTGGGCGACAGAGTGAGACCCTGACTCAAAAAGGAAAAAAAAAAGCACAGGGAAAATGGGTGAGTTATAACAACATACTTGGATGTCTCTCCAGATCAGTGGGAGTGGTCAGCAGAACCAACTGCAAGAGACGGTACAGTGGCAATGCTTTCATATGGGCAGGAAGTTGCACTGGTCACAGGCAGCATAGCACTAGTGGACAGTGCCTTCCCAGGCTGCAGAGTCAGTCTCAAATTAAAAACAAGTGAGTGGTGGAACAGGGCTATATGTATAAGGCCTACTCCAATACAGCCATAATTTAGCGATATAAAGCATGCACTGCACCTAGCACAGTGCGTGATACATAAAAGTCAAAAATGTGTTGCCATTCCTACCTCATGCTTCCACTTTCTCCTGAGGAATGTAAGCAGTGATTATTTTTCAGTGGTGCCACCTACCAGGCATGTGGCACCCTGCTGCATCTCCTGTGATCCTCACAATAGTGCTCAGGTTACTACTATTAATATCTCCATCTCACAGTTAAAACGGAGTTCAGAGAAGAAACTTGCTCAACTTAATGCCACAGTTAAGTGACAAGGACCAGTGTTCCTATCCAAGGCTTTCTGATTTCATAGCTCCCCTCTCAACCATTAATAACAACTGCCTACGTGGGAAGCCTTGGGGACCGAAAGCGTCACCTGAAACTTCAGTCACGGCGTCTAAGGTGTCTAATGTCCTTTTCACGACCGTCGCCTGCTCAAATCTGCCCTTGAAACCCTGAGAGACAGGGGTCCCGTTTCTGGCCCTGACTTGCCCCTGGCTTCCTGTGCACGTAGTAAGTCCTTTGCTCTCACTAGCCTTTAGTTTTTGCTTCTGATAATGGACAAGTGGGTATGTGGGGTGGCACACAGCGATACTTACAACCCCTGTAAAGTGACATATATTAACCTCGCTTAACGTTTTATAATTCACATCAAGCCAAGGGGACAGACGGCGGACTCGAGACAGAAGACGCCGACGGTTTACCCCTTACCCCTTTCCTGGTAAAGGTTACTGAGTCCCGTCCCACCTCTACTCCACTGTCACCCCTCAGGCAGGTCCAAGGTCAAGGATGGCACAGGCCCTCACCCCCTCGTTGATGTGGTCGTAGATCGCGTCCGCGCCTTGATCGAAGGCGCGCTCGAAGAATACGACGCCCACGACGATGGTGAGGGCGAAGGTGGAGGTCCTGCGAAACAGCAGGGAGTACAATTTCGAAGTAAACGTCGCGGCCGCCATGTTTCTTTTTTCACGGTCCAACTCCCGCCACCGCGCCTGCGCCGGGGCCGACCTCGTTCTCCAAAGGCCCTAGACGTGCAACACTTTATGGGATTTGTAGTACCTCTGAATCTCGGCTTTGGGTGTTTTGAACCACAGAGGTACGGCGGTCCTGGGCCTGAGAAAAAAAAATCTCATAAGATCCATATCAGGACAACCCAAACAATCTGATAAAATTTATTACCCAATTTTTCCTCTCCAGAATTCCTGGTTGTTTGAATATGTTAAACTACAACTCCCAGAAGCCCTCGCGCGCCATCACCTTCCCCCCGCCCTCCGCCCCGTCCTGGCTTGGATTCCTAAAGCTCTCTGGGAAGGGCGAGCTGATGGCCAAGGCGAGACTACGAATCCCAGCAAGCAGTGCGCGACGTGGGGACGCAGGAGGAGGAGCCCGGAGCTGCCGCCACCGGGGAGCCAGGTACCTTCCGCCAGACGCCGAGGGGCGAGTCCTAGTCTCTTTTCCCCGCATTGGAAGACTTGAGCGCTTCCGTGTTTGTCCGTACGCCCTGCGGCGGGACGCACCATTCCTTGGGATGGGGAGTGGATAGAGGGGTGAGGGGATCTGGGTTCCCGAGACCCTGGCTCATCTCTTCACCTTGTCCCCTCCGTCAGCCCCAAGTCTAGGCCAGGAGCTGGAGCCTGTGGCAAAAGTCTTGTCCTGGAGGTTAAACCCTTCACGCTGGCTTAACGGCAGGGAGGGATCTGCCCTGCTTCCTGTTACTCTCACCCCTGGGCTTCGCACCCAGTAACCCTGGTCTGGAAGCCTGGAGACTTGGGACCTGCTTGGTATTGAAAAGAGCGGGTTTGGAGTACCTGGGACATTCAACAGATGTTTTCCCAGCGCCTGTTCTGGTCCCTGCTCTGGGGACCCAGCAGTGAACAAGTCCCTGCTCTCATAGAGCGCTCAGTCTACTGAGTGGGCAGATGGGGGAGGTACAGTGCAACAAACACATAGTGCTTTCGTTGACTGGAGAGGCAGTGGTGGTGACATTGCACCCTGGGTGGCTGCTCTGGGGGTGACACTTGACTAGATACCTGAATGAATAGTAGAGTTGAACAGGAAAACGTTGGTGCAAAGGCCTTGAGGCAGCTACAGTCCTGGGATGTTTGAGGGAAAGAAGTAGAATGGATTATGAAGAGGTGGACTCCGGTCAGCTGATATCTGGCCTTGGAACCCACATTACCGAGTCTTGTTTTCTTTGGTTTTTGTTTTTGATAAGTTGGTCTCCAACTTCTGGGCTCAAGCGATCATCCTGCCTCGGCCCTGCAAGGTGCTGGAATTACAGGTGTGAGCCACCGCGTCTGGCCAGGGAGTCATGTTTTTTCCTAATTGCACTAGGAGGCCACTGAAGGGTTTTCAGCAGAAATGCGACAAGATTTAATTTGCATTTTAATGTCATCATCCTGGCTGGTCTATGGAGAGTGGACTGTGAGGGGGAAGTTATTGTAGTAGATCAGTTGAGGGAAGTTGGGTGATTATTTATTTATTTATTTATTTATTTATTTATTTGAGATGGAGTCTCGCTCTGTTGCCCAGGCTGGAGTGTAGTGGTGCTATCTCGGCTCACTGCAACCTCCGCCTCCCGGATTCAAGTGATTCTCCTGCTTCAGCCTCCTGAGTGGCTGGGATTACAAGCGCCTGCCACCATGCCTAGTTAATTTTTTTTTTT